CCAATTTTCGACTGTTTGATTGTCGCTGTATATATAATATACAAATTTCGATTTGTAAAGAGCATCATCTCTTCAAAAAGGTGATCTAGTTTACGCATTTTCAACATTTCTATAAACTGTAGCGAGCCACCTTAAACAGTTGTGCGTGATCATTTGTAGCAAATCGATTTGGGAACCAACATTTTAGTAAAATCGGTGCACAGAAAAGCCTTGTCTCAGAATATCCCATTCCCAAAGGTGCGATGTTTATAAAAGGCTCATTACATGCATGGTCATGGATTTCACAGCCTGGTCAAAAGCTCAGGCCGGCGGACCGGGTAACCGCGGGCACGCTGCAGTTACAGCCTGGGTTTCAGATGAAGGTGTTCAAATCAGTGTCATCTAAGCGATAAGAATTATATTTCAGCAGGAGCTGAGAAAAATAATTGTTCAATATGTTTTTAAATACACATTTGAACATGTGTATTTTTGTGCGTTTTTCATCAGTCTCACAAGTCGAAAGTATATAAGCTCGGGTTGACTGATTTCATCCCAATCCAAACACCTTGCATTGAAATCTTAGATCAACCCTGTGGCACAGAGAATAATAGACAGGTTCAGTCTGAACCTGTTCAGATTCAATCTGAACCGTTCATATTTGACTTCCACTACCGCTACCATTAAAGCTCCGTACAGACGAGCAATTTTTCATTGACAAGTTTCCTTCACGAGTACACTTGCTTGTGTGTTCGACGAACACGCGTTTTCCTTGACAACCTTCTTTGACGAGTTTTATTTGCTCGTGTCTACGACAAAAATTGACAATTTTTTCCTTGACAAGTTTTACGTACGAGCCCGCATTATATAACGCATAGTTCCCGGCTGCGCATTTCCTTGTCAAGTTTTCCTTGACGGCCGTACACATGCACGAGCAATTTTCCTTGTTGGCTCCTTGTCAAGGAAAACTTGTTAATTTTTGCCGTACACACGAGCAAATAAAACTTGTCAAGGAAAACTTGTCAAGGAAAAATTGTCAAGGAAAAATTGTCAAGGTAAACTTGTCAAGGAAAGCTTGTCCAGGAAAGCTTGTCAAGGAAGACTTGTCAAGAAAAACTTGTCAAGGAAAACTTGTCAATTTTTGCCGTACATACGAGCAAATAAAACTTGCCAAGGAAAACTTGTCAAGGAAAACTTGTCAAGGAAAACTTGTCAAGGAAAATTTGTCAAATAAAACTTGTCAAGGAAAACTTGTCAAGGAAAACTTGTCAAGGAAAACTTGTCAAGGAAAACTTGTCAGGAAAACTTGTCAAGGAAAACTTGTCAAGGAAAACTTGTCAAGGAAACTTGTCAAGGGAAACTTGTCAAGGAAAAGTTGTGAAGGAAACTTGTCAAGGAAAACTTGTGAAGAAAAAGTTGTGAAGGAAACTTGTCAAGGAAAACTTGTCAAGGAAAAGTTGTGAAGGAAAAGTTGTGAAGGAAAAGTTGTCAAGGAAAACTTGTCAAGGAAACCTTGTCAAGGAAAACTTGTCAAGGAAAACTTGTCAAGGAAAACTTGTCAAGGAAAATTTGTCAAATGAAACCTGTCAAGGAAAACTTGTCAAGGAAAACTTGTCAGGAAAACTTGTCAAGGAAAAGTTGTCAAGGAAAACTTGTCAAGGAAACTTGTCAAGCCAAACTTGTCAAGGAAAAGTTGTGAAGGAAACTTGTCAAGGAAAACTTGTCAAGGAAAAGTTGTGAAGGAAAGGTTGTGAAGGAAAACTTGTCAAGGAAAACTTGTCAAGGAAAACTTGTCAAGGAAAACTTGTCAACGAAAACTTTTCAAGGAAAACTTGTTAAGGAAAACTTGTCAATTTTTGCCATACACACGAGCAAATAAAACTTGTCAAGGAAAACTTGTCAAGGAAAACTTGTCAAGGAAAACTTGTCAAGGAAAATTACTTGTCAAGGAAAACTTGCCCGTACGTTTGTACGGGGCATCAACCGATCAGATGTGTTTGATATATTTGATTAACTGCATGGCAATCAGATGCGTACTAAGCCAGACGAGAGATAGTGGTAGCGGAACTCAAATCTGAACCTCTATACTGTCCCCCCGAAAGAGTGTTCCACTTCAGACACATTTCGCGGATAGTGTGCCCTCCCCCCTAGCATAATTTGCCGCCTTCGAAAGCTATGCAATTACGTAACGTTCACATTATGAGACGTTTTACGAAGTGAAGTGGTGTGGGCGTTGTATAATCATACAAACACAGAATTTTGAATAATTCTGCCCACTCAGGCGAGTTTCCTGGCCAGCACAGCTCATAAACAAGCCCATGGGTTCCGAAACAAATCCATATAGTCCATATACAATGCAATATTTACCAATATACTCAAACATATATAGCAGCATTTCTACTATTTCTAAAATTCTAGTTCATGATCAAATTATGATCTTTTATACTCATTCCACATGGTGAGTGATGTAAAACTAACCAAAGTCAAAGAAACATCGCCATATAACTACTTACTAGTAAACAGCAGCTAGTAGTGAAGCTTTTCAAAATTGATCACTTCATTCGCATACTTGCGTCTTATGTGAAAAGATACAGACTTCATCTTGGTAAAATATCTCCAGTTTCAAACACAAAACAACAACACAACATGTTCGAGTTATCAACAAGTATTCTACAAGGTTGAACAAAATCCAATCGCTTCGGCTGAATTCAATCAAATTTACATCACTACACATCGTAACGTTCCCGGAGCATTTTCTTTTGTGTCGAAATTATGAGTTCCACTCTAGCGCGCAGGAAACTAAAAACAACGCTACGCCGGTTAGGGTATGATGCGGTTAAAGTGGAAGCAGCCTTTAATTTAATATATTTGATATCGATATATCAATTTTTATATGTCGATAAGTTTTTTCTCAATTTGCTCAAAATAATTCTAATAAAATTGCTCATATATGGTGAATAAGTCGACACAAAAGTCTATGACGTATAAGAAATCCTACAAATGAACAGCTAAACAAATATTCAGTGAAATTCTAAGTATATGCTGACGAGAATGCCATAAGTTCTTAAACAAGGCCAATGAAAGAGTGAGCATATGACATTGTTGACTTACCAATACAAAGAAACGCCTTGCCATCCTTGGTCAGAAGGTTAGTTTCATATTCATCTTTGTTCATTTAATTAATGCGAACTTTCGTCGACAAATAGATTTCATGTATTGAACTGTTCTTTTAAAAGCATTAAGTTGGTCTACACCTGTACACCATGGCTGCCGCTTCATACACGAGCACTGTCGAGCAAATGGAAAATATTTTAACATGTGCGATATGTGAGAACATCTTGAAGGAACCACGGACACTCGATTGCTTTCATTCGTTTTGTGTACATTGCCTTACAAAGTATATTGAAATTCAACGCGAGGAAACCCAAGAAAAACATGAAGCCGAACATCTGTTCGATTGTCCTACGTGCAAAACCCAATTTCAACTCAGACAAGACGAAAGCGTGGAAGGATTACCAGCCAACTATTTTATAAACAACATGCTCGACATAATGAAAATACAAAAAGCACAAAAACTGCCTTGTGAAGCTTGTAAAGGTCAAGGCCCTGCCCAATGTCGATGTATTGGATGTGAACGTTATCTTTGCAAGAACTGTTTGAATGCGCACAACAACCGGTCTGACCTTAAAAATCATGATGTGCTGACTTTGGAGGAATTGACAAAACCTGAAAACCAGTCAAAAGCGAGAGCAAAACCACGCTGCCAGAAACATGGGCATGAAAATAAACCGGCACTTGAAATATATTGCAATACATGTGAGGAACTGGCTTGTATTAATTGTGTTGTCCTAGACCATCCGCCTGCCCATGACTATCAACCTATCGAAGTAGTAGCAGAAGAGCACAAGAAAGCATTGAAGACAACTTTCGACATCTTACAGAAGAAATCAAACGAAAGTCAGAATGCCTTGAAAAAAATACAAGATGCTGTTGAATTCCTTGGAGCCAAGACAGCCAGAGACGCCATCTTGAAGCAAAAAGAGGAAATTCTGAATGAATTTACTCGGCAGCTGGAAGTAAAAACGAACGCCTTGCTTGGAGAGGTGGACGAGAGTTACTGTCAAGGCAGCGAAAACCTTAGCAGGCAACAAAACATCATGAAAGCTTACGTGGAGAAGGTGAATGGCTCACTGGTTATTGCGAAGAATGTTATTGAAAAGGGTAGCAGCGAAGACATTCTTTCAATTGCCAATAAAATCAAAATGAATGCCGAAGACATCGAGCAGGAATGTCCAAAGTTGATGCAACCAACTGGTTGTACATGTGTTGAATACCAGGCAAAATCGACTGAATCTATTTTTGGCAGTATAAATGTGAATGATCTTGGAAATGTTGGTAGGCCAACAGTTTTAAAGTGCTTATATATATACAACGAAATTTTAATACCATTTTTTGTCATGATTGAATTGAAAAGAAAAGAAAAAATGACCAGAATGAAACTATGCCAAATTTGCGATTCCCCTGAAACGATTTCGTAGCGCTTTGCATTGTGGTTATAGTGGTATCACTGATATTCAAGATGGCTTATTTTTTGTCCTGACCCGTGCAAGAACTTTTAAAAAAGCTATAGGGTCAGGTGCGCGTTTGCCAACGGCAAAATATTCACGAAAACATTCCGAATAATTTCATTCGAGGCCGGCGCGCCGCTATCTTTATCAGTGATACCATTGTAACCACAATGCAAAGCGCTACGAAAACATAATAAGGGGAATCGCGAACTCTCTTAGCTTGTTTCATTCTTGAGATATTTGACAATAATTTTTGATATGCTAATTGTCCTCATTATGACATGACATGACGTCACAATACATTTTGAAAAAATCAAAATAATAAAACCGTGCATATGGGTTATGTCATCATATTACAAATATATAATATATGTCGACAAATTTGAATCAGTTATAATATATAAGAGATTATTTTTTTGAAAAACTATTATCCAAGTTGCGTCATAGTAGGCCAAGTGAGGATAGTTTGCATATCAAACATTGTTTTAAGAATATCGCAAGAAAAAAACAACTGGTAAAAGAGCAAAATATGTACAATGTTGGACATAATTGGTTGACGGACTATTCCCCCCCCCCCTTTACAAAATTCGCATATTTTGATGAAAAATTACAGTACATGTTGAATCATGTTGCCCTTCTTAAGCCTCTGCTGCCCCAACTCAATGTTAAGTTTGTGTCATGGTATATTACCAAACGTTGTTTCGGCGTTGTTTACAACATTGAACTGGGAGGGGGGGGCGGGACAAAGTTTGTTTTGTCAATGTTCAATAACTTTGTACAATGTTGGCTGGAATGGTCTCAACGGTTTTGTCCAAGATTTTAGCTTAGCCATTTTGAATTTTTTTACAATGTAATGTGTAGTTTTAAGAAAGGAGTCTAAAAAAAAGAAAACATTGTCCTTGTTTCTATACAGTTACAGAAACACGCGTGGACGATCGATTTGGAGAACGATAAATGAATAGAACTACCACAAGAGTTTCTATAACTTTACGTATGGAAACACAGGAAAGGTGTTTTCTATTGATTTATGATACAGTATAGCTCAAGCAATGTTTTATAGCCATTTTTATATCGAAATTATCATTACCTCAGCATACAATCCACTCGATCAGTTTCCTGGTCGCCTTTCCTCGTGAATTTGACTATAAAATAGTCAAGTTCTTTTCTATTTAAACTGAGAATTCCCTTTTTGTTTTGGTTGTCAAAACTAATATTATCACATATTAAATTAACACATATTATTTTGATTGCAGCGCGTGTTAAAATTGTTTTGTTGACGTTTTAAAACTATATCAAAGCTGTGATACGGGAAATTTCCCTTATTCACATACAGTTAAAGAATCACGCTTCTCGACCAATCAATACTAGCGTACTATAAATATTATATTATATATATTATATATAATATACATCATATATAGTTAGTGTGATTCAGAGTGACTTTGCTTGATAAAATTGGTACAGTTATATTTAATATAAATTAAACTGAGATAGTTTTGTTTAGTTTAGTTCACCTTACTCTTGAAATTCTAATAGAATTGTGATGGATTTATTTAGTCTGTGATCACTAAGCAAGTAGTTCACCTTTCTTTTGCAGCTGCAATGGAACAAAAAGTTGATACTCATGGCAGAGTTTATTATGTTGATCATATTACCGGGACTACAACACAGAAACGACCTCAAACCCAGTTGGCTGAAGAAGATTGATGTTGCAGTGCCCAAACGAAGTTAGGCATCACTTCGCATTCGCTGCGTTAGTTTGCATGTTTGTGACTGTGTTATTGTTTCAAAAATGTAGTATGTCTTCGCAACTCTTCGCGCATGTGGCGCACTTGTATTGCGCATGCTCCTGGGCACCCCACTGTAGTACTATATTTCTTAGATCACGTTGCATAAAATTTAACCAATAATTGCAATAAGATAGCAAGCTATTTTATATTTTACAATCTGTTAGTTGCTTGACTCACACCATTGCCAAATTTTTGTAATAGTGTTAGCTTCATCAAATAAAGTTTGTTAATTGATTCCTCTATTAACTATGATTAGACCTAGCCTATATATACTCTATAGCGTATTTAAATGGCGGTTGGAATAAATTTAGATGACTTTCTAGGGCCTTTAATTTTGAATGAAACTTCTTACCATCCTATAGTTTGCAGTTAAATTATGCATGGTTATAACTATAAAAAAACACGCTTGTGATTGATTGACTTTTGCACTAACTGTAGTTAACTTTAACGTCTACCTTTCTATGTAACTGGCTCCTGGTATTATAAGGCTTCACGATCACTCGTAGACCGGGCTGAATTCTTCAGGTTCCATTAGTTCACACCGGAATGTTTCTGGTATGGTTATCAATGCTGTAATTACTAGCGAATGCAACCGCAAAAACGTTTTTGCTGTTGCATTTAGTCAACAAAAATTTCTTACGAGATTTCTATCTCGCAGAAATTTTATATGTATGTTGTTTTCCCAATCTTAGTATCATAGCGTATTAGAAACGAGATGAGGGGACAAAGGTTGTTAAAATTGCAGGTATATATCTGGCATTTGTGGTTGTATAATGCCTACAATAGTGTAAAAAAGAACTTAAAGTAAAACTGATATAAATACGTAGTTTTTATATAAAGTCGCATAAGTAGGCCTATATAGTTTAAATCATTGAAAATATATTCACCACAATTTCAATTTTAATTAAAATTATTTAGAAAGGTTTTTGACTTTGTATATTATATTACATTATGCAACTAACAGACTATGTAAAACCATGCAACTAACAGACATGTAACCTAAATAAAGTTGAAACTATAACCAACAGCCCAAAATGCAAGAAACATTTTCTGTATACATGACTTGATTTAATATTAAAAAATACTTTAGTGGTTAGTAACAAGTCGCTGAAAAAGGGTGCAAGTATCGAATGATATGATGATACCATGCACGTGTCCGTGTCAATAATCAAATTAAGATTTAATTTCACGCCTGTTCTCAAAGTTTCACAAAAGGGACGAGGGCAATTTGTGAAACTTTGAAAACACAAGTGAAATTAAACCTTAATTTTACGAGAAACTATGCGATTACTTGTTAATTCTTGACTTACAATCAATCCCTTGAGAATTAGAAGACAATTGCATGGCGGCCATGTTGGTGCCAAATTCAAAAGAAGTTAATGAGATTCTTCTGTGGAAAGGGGACCGATAATATATGGCCGTCGCCCACATCATCCCAAGTCAAGCTAAAAATCATGGGGGGCAAAATGTATTCGTAAGTAAATTGTGAACTTGTCAAGTTCTTGAACCTCGTATATGTCTCCATGCCATCGTCGATCTTCCTTTTAATGCTGCCTATTCCTTAAATACTCCAACCCATAAATTTGTACTTTTTCTAGTGGTTGAGTTTTCACTAGAAGTATATAATTCTAAAATAACATCATTGTCCTCAACGACAAAGCGAGAAGCCATTGTTTTTATTGCTATTTAAAACAAGAAACTTCCCGCGCTTGCATCTCAGCCAATCAGGTACAAGTAATTTTGACCTGAATTAAGAAAAAAATGCCCTCATCATTTGCCAATCATATTTGAGTAATTTTTCTCTCTATATGATTCCAATCGAAATGAAACAACCCAGGTTTTGGTAATGCAAACTGTTTTGTAGTGTGCAAGGTGCATGATGACTCACACCATTTCCAGATTATTGTAAAAAGTACAACACTAATCAAAGACATTTTGTTGATTAATTGAACTAAATAATTATTAAAAGATAAGTAGATAGGTATATAGCATACATTTAAAAATTGTGGTTAAAATAAGTTTGGATTACATGCATTCTAAAGGGTGTCCCCCCAAAAAGTACCCTCTATAGAAATTGTACTATAATTTGAATGCCTGAGCACTATGCTGAATACAAGAGTGCGTAAACACAATTGAATTGAATTTTTAATTACCAGTCGCATAAAATCCTG